TTTGGAGAGCTAAATTTGGGATTTGAGTGGCGACTTGGTATCGGATTTTGATAATTTTGGTATGGGTGAACTCGATATCGAATGGGTGTTCGTATTTTGTGACTTTTACCCGATTCCGAGACGTGGGTTCGGGTCGACTTTTTGGGATGATTTTTCGATTCTTTGCTAAAGTCATAGATTTATGATTTAAATTAGTTTCTTGTAGTTGTATTCATGTTATGTAATTGCTTTTGGCTAGATTTGGGCCATTCAGAGTCGAAAAATCGAGGGAAAGGCATCCTTATCGATTGGTAGAGTGAAATTTGAGGTAAGTATCTTGTCTAACTTTGTGTGGGAGAAATACCCCTTAAGATTTGAGTCTTTGGTGCTGATTGTATAATGTAAAGTCCGTGTACGCGATGTGACGAGTACGTTCTCGGGCTTATTTGTGGAAGGTTGACCTTTTAGGGCTCTTAGGTCCTTATGTCCACTTGATATGAAGTTGTACTGTTATGATTAAGTTCCCCTTTTACTAGTTTCATCTCTACGTGTCTTTATTGGAATTTATTTGCTTCATGTTCCATCCTTATTGCCTATTTGACTCTTGTGTGCCTTGATGGAAGTTGTTGCCTCTTCGAGTGCCATGTTATCCTTGTCCTAATTGCTTATCATTAATTGAAATTATTGTTATCTCTTCTGTAATTGTCTATCCTTATTTGAGGTCATGATTATCTTTTCCGTTGCCTATCCTTAATTGAAATTGTTGTATCTCTTCGTAATTGCTCAACCATAAATGAAGTTTAGCTATCCTTTATCATAGCTGCCTTATCCCTATTTGGAATCATTTGTTACATATAATTTCTCCCTTGTTGAGCCGTTCTTATTGAGACTAGTATTCCCTATTGTGTTTATTCTTTGTGAGCTCGTTCTACCGCTTCTTTGTGATCCAAAACTCTTGAGTTGATTACTTGTTATTTTCTCGTGCTATTGTTGTTGTTGTTGCTGTGGTATTCAGTTTGTTGAGCCGAGGGCTATTGTGATATTGTTGGGAGGTTTTTGTCATGTGTTTGCACGAGATTTCTGCCGTGCTATTATTACTATTGTTATTTGCACATGCGGCATGACAAGGCGGGCTATATATGTTGGTTTGCGTATGTGGCGAGATAAGGTAGGAATACTATTATGCCCGTGAGGCGAGACAAGGTGGGTGCTTACTTTATTATTGCGCACATGGTGAGACAATGTGAGCTATGCGGGGGATTGATTTGTGATGACTTGAGATGGCCTGGGGGCATTGTTGTTGTTGATATTTGTGTAGTGGCGAGCCTAACTTGTGTGAGTTTTAACTTGTACAAATCATGGGGATCGTTTCTTATGTGTCGTTCATTTTCCTCTACCCCTACTCGTTGGTCTGAACTGTGATAGAACACTTGCACAAGCATACACGTAATTAATCACCCTTATCTGTTTAAGAAGATGGATCATTATATTATTTATCATTCATACATACCCTCGTTTATTAACCTTCTATGTGATAATTGTTCTATTAGCACGTGAGTCGTCCATGCCAAGTGATTAGGGTTCACAAATTGGGACCCATGAATTATGGTTAGTTTGAGGTTTGGTACCTCGTGAAGATTATTGGATAAACCTGGTGTGAAAGCGGTTATTCTTATCTAGTTGCTACTTGTCTTCCCTTTATTTGTTTTCGCCGGATATAAACTGTGTTCAGCTTACTCTATTGTGTTATTTCTTGTTGTGTTCCGCTGCTAATTGTTGCTTCTAGTTCTCATTGCAAGCACCGTTTTATTGTTGTCATTATGCGTAGCTTTGTAGAGATATCGTACTTCGTTAGTTTTACACCTATGCTTGTCCATGTTATTTAGTCCAGTAGGTGTCTTGACTGTTCCTCGTCACTACTCCACTGAGGTTAGTATTGATACTTACTGGGTACCGCTGTGGTGTACTCATACTACGTTTCTGCATATTTTTTTATGCAGATCCAGGTATTTCGAAGTCAGTTGATCGCTAGCTAGCTGTACGGATCTGCTATGGAGACTCAAGGTAAACCTATTGCTGCGTTTGCAGGCTTCAGAGTCCTTCTGATACTGTACTTGCACTGTTTTATCTCTATTTCGAAACAGTTGTATAATAGGTTTTCTAGTAAACTCAGTAGAGCTTATGACTTGTACTACCAGTTTTGGAATTTTAAGTCTCGTACAGAGATTTCTACTTCGCATTTGGCGGTCATTATTTAATGTTGTTGTTATTTCAGTAAATGTTAGGCTTACCTAGTCCCTAAGATTAGGTGTCATCACGACATCCTACGGAGGAAAATTTGGGTCGTGACAAATTAAGACATTAGCCAAATAGAACGGAACTAAGTAGAACCAATTTGGCCAGCAAACTTGTCTATAAATAGTTGCTCAAATATAATCAATAGATGTATTGTGCGATTAGTTGGTGATGTATTGGAATGAAAGAATATTTACTTTGAGTTATCATAATATTATGAGCATTAGTCCTACAAATCACATGAAACCAAATGTTATCTTGTTCTATTTTTATTTGGAGAACACCTCATTTTGTCTCTCTAATTAAAATAAAAAAGACCCAAATAATATTCTTTTGACCATTTCTAGCTGACCCATTCCAAGCTTTGTTTTTCTTTTCTACATTTGGTTTACTATTTTCTGATGAAATAATTGTTCGTTATTTTGTGTAATTCCATTCGTTTTCTAAGTAAAATTTGTTACATGTTTTATTTCCCTTGTTCGTAAAACACATTCTACTACTTAAAAAAAGTACATTTAGTAAGTAGGATGAAAATTGCAATAGCTTTCCTACTACTATTGTTCAGTTATCCTTAAATGTTTTTTTTTATGTTTCCTTTGTTTCTGAGCAACAAATATTTCTTGTGATAAAATATTTATTAGATACGTTTGGTAGATCAAGAGTTCACATTAAGAATAGTGTAGAATAGACGTTGAGTCCACAACTTGTACGGTATACAATATTATAGAAATTCCAAAGTACCCTATTTCTTTTCATTTTAATCCACTTTTTTAAAAAAATTGTCTTTCCTTTCATAAATTTTCCTTCGCTCTATATTTCATGTAACGGGGCAAAATTACTTTTTTCGCTTCTATTTCTGTTTTATGCCCACCGAAACAACTTCTTTTTTCTATTTTGCCTCTTTGTTAATTTCTAACAATTGAACTAATAAAATAATATCCAGACCTCAATCACCTTTATGTTCACTCACAACATGCATGTCCACCCCACCGGCCACCACCATAGCCATGTAATTCCTCACTGACTTTCGCCAATTCTCACAATATGTCTAAGTAAAACCGTCTTTGCCACTAATATCATTATATCAGGATACATTAGCATGCACAAATTTTGTATTGCGAAGAAGAAATTCGAAATGTTAGAACGTTATCGGAAAAGGTGAAAATAAAATTGAGAAATAAATTAGAAAAGGCCAAAGTGATAAACTCAAAAGCTTATGTTCCAATATTCTTTACCTTTTTTTTATATAAAAAAAATAGAAATAATTTTGTTTTGTTAACAATCATTTTTGAGAACACCTAGGGATTGTTTGGTTTAGAGATAAGTTGTAGTGATTTGCAGAGATTAGTTATATTTGGATTTGTTGTTTATCCGCAAATAGATACAGTTGAATTTGTAACGTGATTTATAAATGCGTGGATTATATTGATCCGATAAAATAAAAGAGTAAGAGCAAAGCGAGTATAATAAGGATAATTGAAGAAAAGACATGCTTGAGCTTCGAATTGATCTCTCGTGAGCCAAGAAAAATGTGAAAATCTTAATAACAGTAAAATAAAGATTTATCAATGAGAGAATAGTATTAGTCTTTTTTCGTACAAGTATTTTGTGACCTTCAATGAGTACAAATCTCACAATTTATAGCTAACCTAGTGGAGACAAGATCCTCGAATCATGCCATTTTTTAAGGTGAGTAAAAACTCTTGATAGTTACATAACGGATGAGAAGAAATGCTATAATTTTCTATAACAGATGCTCCTTTAATGCTGACCTCTCCAACTTATACCTTACTTTCAAATTCTCCCCATCTTCCTTAATTCTTTCGAAACTTATAATAATATCGGTCACATGCTTGTAATCAATGTTAGTCATTTACTGACTCATCTCGTACTTGTCTTTACCGCCACATATCTATTCGAGAAGCACACACCTGTAATTTGCAAATTTTGTCCAATACATTAGTATAAGCACATTAGTACAGAATACATAATTTAAAACTCGTGTTTCCTTTTAAACAAAATAAAAGTTCATTTTGTTTTGTCATTTTTATGCTTAATCCATGTATTACTAATACTAATTCTTATTTCACCTCTTATTATGCATAAAATTATATGAATTCCGCTATAACTATGCATGTATTATTAGCTACGAGCATAACAAAACTACTAATAAATAATTGAATTAATTAATATTGAATTTTAATGGAGATTGAAACCTACTCTCTGAACCAACCCCTTGGGATCGTTTGATTTGTGGAACAAATTATGTTGGGATTACAAAATTATAATGCATGGATTGCAAAACTAGGGTCAATAATCTTTGAATTTGTTATACTAATGTTATGTTTGGTTTTAATTAACAATGGAATATGTGTGATATAATATAAAATATGTGCATGAGTATAAATAGAATAAATACAGATGAACTTTGATTTTAAATTTTAACCTTGTCTTGTGTTGATTAAGCTAGAAAGGGATTTGACAGAAGAGTAATTTGTTATTTTAATTGTTTTATCCAGGTGTAGTCAATTTTTGTAATGTTATTATATTGCTTATACTAATTATAAAAACACAATACAACAAATAATAAAATAAGAAGTACTGAATTACCTTAAGGATAGAATTCTTACAATTCAAAGTGGTCAAATTTACTTCTTGTTATTACACGAAATAAAAAAGAAAAAGGTCCAGAAACAAAAAAAGAAAGAAAAAGATGGGCTCCGTAAAACAGGGGGTGAGGAGAGAGAGGAAATAGGAAAAGAGGAGGAAAAGAAAAGAGACGCTCACACTACAGCCTCATCCATGTTCTATTTCCCCACCTATCCCCTCCCCAACTCTCTCACCGCTTCGCCTAACCTCAAAATTCTCTTTAATATACACAACCCCTTGCTCAGCCTTAGCCATCGGAAGTCCTAAAATATTTTAGTTTATTTATCTCAAAGTTTTTTTTCTCTTCTTCTTGTTGCTATTCGACGGGAAAGATCAATTATATAAATTAAGGTAGGAGTAAACGAAGTTGTAGGTTGTTTTTTGTCGGTAAATTATGGGATTAGACGACGTGGATCTTCCGGACGACGGTGACGGAGGTGGTGGAGGTGAAGATAAGGCATCGGCGGTTGCGTGTTCGATTTGCCTAGAAGCTGTTACCGACAATGGAGATAGATCTTGGGCTAAACTCCAATGTGGCCATCGATTTCACCTCGGTTAGTTCGTCTTTCCAACTTTTTAAATTAATTAATTAACTAAAACGTAACGTAACTGGTACTTTTTGTTACGAAAGCAAGCAATAACCTTGTGGGTAGTTAAATTTACCACTAGATTGTCTGAGATCTGATTAGCTGCTAAAGTTGTGGAATTTTCTACTTTTTTTCTTCTTGGGGAGATCAGAATTTTGATTTTATGAAGAATTTTTGGTTGATTTTCTGCAATCATTAACTTAAACAGGTGGTTAATCAAGTTAAATAGACTTATCACATGATGATGATGATTACCCCTTTTACTTAATACTTGCGGCTAGGTGAGTTATGTATGTTTTAAAGCAACTCAGTGTCTGAAGTTGAAGAAGTTGAACGGATACCAAGAATGGCTAGACGGTCTAAGCAATTGTCACTTTGTCTTTTGTACAGCAGAATGCTGTTAAGAAAAGTAAAGGTTCAAGGATGTTAGCAGATGCTGTTAACAAAATTAAAGGTTTTTGATGTTAAAGGAGATTGATTATTTCTATGACCTCTGGAAGTTACAAAGAGCAAGAAAGGAGGTCAATTTATATAAAAAAAAGTTGATTAATTAAAGGTTCAACTGATAACCGTCGCCTGTATTTTGAATATGTCGTCTGTATTTTCACCATGTAGTCGCAAATATCCTGCCAAAGTAATAGGATTTAGACATTATTCCAAATAAAAGAACTTCAATCATATTTCTTTGTTTTGGGATTGTGCATGTCCTGTTCGAGTCTTAAATATGAGGTCAAGTAGCTGAAACAATGATAAGATTGCTTGAGCACTACATCCATTTGTATGATTTTGCTATGACAGAGTAAGAAGAAGGTTGTAGATGAAAACCAGGAAATAAAAGAAAAAGAAGTGGGTGACTCTTCAAGTTGAGATTTTAAAGCTTAATGTCCAATGTAGTTTTATTTTTGGGACTTACATTGTGATTTCTGAAAATTAGAAGTAAATGAAACCTCCTTGTCTTCCTTTTTTTCTTTTGATAAGTGAAATTTCCAATGTGATTGGCACAATCTTTTCTCTTATTGTCACTGTTGATGATTTTCTACCAGCTCTTCTTCTGCTCCATTCCTTCTCATTGTCCTCAAACATATCCTCATCCTCACTTTATAAACATCATGATTACCTAACACTTTGGCTTCTTCCCTTAATTCTGCCTCAGTCATAGAACATGCTCCCTTCAGTAGCGACAAAAAATTGGAGTGCATGTTGTAGTTTAGCTATCTAAGTCTCTTGTGCTAATAGTATTGCTTACTCTTGGTCTTTCGTCGAGGCGTTCGACACTCAACCAGCCCAGAATCCTACTCAAATGATCATTTTTATGTATAATGTTCTAGCTTCTTGAACCCCTCTTCGAACTAGATGGGTACATACCCTTGGTCACTGGGATCAGTTTCGATTATTGTGGAGTCGATCTGGGGCACATATATTGGAGTCAAACCCAAATTTTCCCCTTGGCAAATAGAAATTTATTGTTGGGCCATATCGTTTCTTTACACCCCATATTAACTAGGCGTATAGCTAGGAGTACAATGAATGAATATCAATGTTGTAGAAGGCAAAAAGGTTATAAAAGTGTTTATATCTATTGGGGCTTTTAAGTACAAAGCACAACTAAGTGTGCACCCTTTATTGAAGAAAGAGGCAAATTTTGTTATTTGTGTTATATGTAATTTAAGAAAAATATCTATAAACACAAATAATAAGATTGAGGAATTCAGAGAATCACAATCAAGTGAATTTACATAATAACACTGATAAAAGTAATTTACGTAATACGAATCATATATATCAAGGTCTAAACCATTTTAAATTTCTTATTCTAATGCAAAAATGCGGCATTAAGTTTCTAATGCAAATTTAGTGACTTTTTACTGTGATGTCTGTGCTTAATAGTTAATACTAACATATTCATGCATAATGGTTCCATGAAAACTAAGGTATCAGTATACTAGTGATATTTATTGTTCAGAAGACAAGTCTGCAGCAGCACAAGTGATGAGACGCACGCATTAGCGACGTTGTGCCTACACCAAAGCGCACCAAGGCGCCTATGTGAAACAAGGTGTCTATCCTGAAGTAAACTTATTCTCAGGGTTGCACATTTTGGACTAGCACTATCTATTTTGCATCTTCTTGATGCCTTTCAATGATATCTCTCTTACTTCATCAAAAAAAAAGAAAAGAGGAGAGATATTCTGGCAAATGTGGCTATTATTGTATTCTCCTCGGTTGGGAGATAGTTATGCTAATATTGCTGCCTTTCTAAAATGAACCCTGTGTCTAGCAATTTATACGTTGTTCTCTGCAATTTGTATCCACTATTCACTTCTTTGATATTATTTTACAGTTTCTTAATGGTGGAAGCCATTATCTTTCTTGTAGGTTTCTTTCAGAAACCATTTTCTATTGTAGCTTCACTTGACGGAACTTTGGGAAATCTAGGATGAACGAGCCTTATCATGTGTTTGTGTGTGGTGGTGGTGGGGGGGACAAATGCGTGCACTTTACTCTTCTTGGTATCTAAGATTATTGTTGTTGAATGTGTTAGTGCGGAGAAGCCGGGGACTACTGAGTGTAGTAACTTTTGTTTCTGACATTCTCTAACAATTCCTTATTTAGAATTAAGTGGGTGTATTTCCTTGTTGACAATTTTCCATTATGGCATGCAGATTGCATTGGTTCCGCCTTTAACATCAAGGGACAAATGCAGTGTCCCAACTGTCGGAAAATTGAGAAAGGTCAATGGCTTTATGCTAGTGGTTGTCGTCCCCTACCTGAGTTCAACATGGATGATTTGGCCCATGATGAAGAGCTATATGATCTGAGCTACGCCGAAATGGTAAAGATGAGTCAGCTTTTACCTACTGTTCAGTAATCTAATAGTCAATCTAACCTATCAAAAACTACTAATAAAAAGCTCTATTCTCCTGGTTTTAATGTGGGGCCATTGTACGTTCCTTTATCTGGTCTTCATAAGTTTCTTTTGGATGATGTGGTTCTCCTACTGGGAACTGATTGAAGACTAGTATTAAAGAAGTAGATGGACTTGCCTTATCTGACTCTTGATTGCTTTTTCAGTTCTGTTTTTGCTTATATATGCTTACTCTGTTTCGGAGATTATTGCCTAATCGTATCTCCTTATCATGATGTCCGTACTCAATCATCTAGACCTTTTCTTTGTTGCTTTAATCTCTTCTTGTTAACAAGAAATAAATTTTTTTGAGCTTAGGACTGTTAATTTTGTATTCCAACAATTCAAAACAATTTGAGGAAAATATTTTCCGATATCTGAGTTTGCAGTTTGCTGAGTTTGACAATTTATGATTGTATAAACATGATTAGTACAAACGGCCTATTGAAGTGGTTTGTGGAACATTCTATTCCTTCTTTTTCCTTGATTAGTATGATAGATTTTTGTCTAGATGTCCTGTTTGAAATTTATGTCATAGATAGGTTATTTGCCTCCGCAACTTACCGTCCTGGGTTTGTCTCCAAAACTTACACGAAACAGTTAGGTTGTAGCCATAATATGAGATATCCTGATCTTTCACATCACCACAAAGTCATCTGCAGCAACTTACTGAAAGGGTAAACCTACACTGGTATTCTGAATCAGTTGCCTGAAGAATTCCAGCACGTTATGAGATTGAACTTGTAAAAACCCATGAGTCTTAGTATTTTGTCAACAAATGTTCCTCTATGTTTCTGTCCATCAGAATTGCTGATTCTATCTCATCATGAACATCCACTTGACAACACATTGGAACTCACACAGAAAACACAAGATTCTTACAGGAATATGTGGAAATAGGAAGCATGTACATTAGAAGAGCGAGTTGGTGCTCTGTTTACTGATTTAACACTGGCTACTATAAAGTTGGACCTGGGTGTTGAGGACTTTCATTTTCTATGATTTGTCAATCATTTCTGGTAGCCAGAAACTGCTTCAATTGGTGTGTGTAAAGTTCCATTTCTGCTATCCATTGCTATAGGAAAAATATTTCTTTTTTGATTATGGTGTGTGTAAAGTTCCATTTGTCCTGTCAAATTCTTTTTCCTTTTAGTGTTTTTCCTGTTGCTACAGGAAAAACAGAAAGAAAAAGAGAAGTCCTGCTTGGCTCATGAACATTTGTTGGTGCATTGCTAGTGCCTAAATATAACTTTGCTTTTCTCTTGCCTTTCTTTTCTTTCCGTGATTTTCTTATTGTTGATTGTTTTCCTTCTCAAGCCAATTATTTAATTTTACTTACTAAACGTTGCATGTCCTGTGCGTGGTTTTGCAGTCATTTGGAGTTCACTGGTGTCCTTTTAGTGGATTAACTCGGGTGTCATCGTCTTTTGAGTAAGAAACGATTTTAATCATTTTTTCTTTTATGGTAGAGATTACTTGTGTTTTTTAACCCGTTCACGATTTTGTTATTGATGATTTTGCCTCATTAGGTGAGCTTGTAATGTTGAAATTGTACTGTCTGCTTATATAGTCTTGAACGAGAATGCTGCCATAATGTTGAAATTGTACTGTCTGCTTATATAGTCTTGAACGAGAATGCTGCCATACTTGTAATTTGAAGTCGGATAGGCTAGTGTAGCATGTGCATATACACCAGTGATTAGTCTTAACTCATAAAAGAGAAAAACCCAAGTAAATGGCCCCATGAACTTTGGCATACCAAAGATGGATCATTCTCTGGCAATTAGCTTTTCTTGGTTTTCATGGTGTATTTGGATTGAGCATAATGCTAGAATGTTCAAAGATCATTTTTAATACAACATGCCTGTATACACTGGCTTTGTTTCCTTAATGTTTTGGTTGACGAATTAATTTTTTTGTAGATTAGTTTGTCTTATGTCTACATCAATAGATTGAATACATGATGCAACTTTTACTTAGGATTAAGATGTTAACGCATATAGTTATCTTCTGGATATTCTTCTTCATCAGTAATTTTTCTTTCCTATGAAAAATTACCTAAATTTCTTTTTAAATCAGTGGTTTACTTGGTATTCTTTCCGTTAGACCAGTTAATGAAAGTAGATTTTGGTGCGAGAACTTATATGTGGAAGGAATCAGTTACGTTGGATTTGTAGAGATGAGATACTGGTGATACCATGGTAGAGTTCATCAGTTCCCTACATAGTTGAAGGGACAATAGTTTTGCTCTTTGCTTCTGTACATATTGCAAATGCTATAGCACCATTGCTATGTTTTCTTTCTATGCCATATTGAGGCTGAGTTACAAGCTGAGTTTGAATACACTGTGTGCAGTGGAAATAAACCATTCATTAGAACATTTTACATCTTCCTAGTTCTAAAAACTGCCCATTGAGCTAATTTGAGTTCACGATGTTGATGGGTGTCCTACTGGGACTAATTAGCCTCAAGTGTGTAAGGATCCCAATGTTTTGAAGGGCCTTGAAGTATGATATGCCCTCAGATCGTTTCTTTCTTTTTGATGGGACAATGTGTTGAGATTATCACATCTTTTGCCTCATTTTGATGCTAGCTAATTTGATTTATGTCCGGATAAGGAATATAAGAAGCTCCTAGATTTCAGCATTAAATTCTAGTGGATCAAAAATGGAAGCACACTTGTCTACAAAAAGAAGTAAAAGTACAACTTTTAACTGAACAAACAATAGGGAGTCACAAATGGTTAGGGTACATCGTATTTTTGTCCTCTAGAATCAGCTGCAATCTGTACTATCTAGACCGCCAGGCTGGAATTGTAACTGCATAACATTCCCCTGAAAGAGACACCTGAAAAAGGGGCTTACATACAAGCTACAAGCTCATCAGCGATGTGTTTTGTACTTCCAAAATTAGAATTTATTTCATTTGGAGATTTAAAAATGGGTTGCAATTGGCTGGGAGAAGGGTGTGGAATCTTTAATCGGATGGGCCTATGTGACTCTTAGGTTGATTGGAGTGGCTGGGCAGTGCAGTATAAGCTGATTGAGGAAAAAAGGAACGGAAGAAAATATTTAATTTGGTAAAAGATGGAATTTACATAACTAGGTGGGCTGGTTGTAAAGGAAAATGAACTAAAAACATTTAATTTGATAAAAGCAAAAGAAATTGAACACTGGGCGGAGCAATGTAGGGCAGGTTGTAAGGGGTGAAATTGGACGTGTGAATAGGGGATACGGTCGTTGGGAGCCTGATATTTAAATTGGAACAGGGTAGAGGAGCAAGTTCACACTCCTCCAAGTTTCGAACATGTGAGCCAACTAAGGCTGGACCAAGTTCAAGTGGGAGCAAGATATTGCCTTTTTTATCCTATTAAGGCTTACATAGAGAATCATCTAATCTACTCCAATTTATCACTCTTTTCTTGTTGGATGAAATGTTCAACAGCATTCTGCTAATAATATTATTTTATACAACTTCTCACAGGTTCCAGAGTCAAATTCATTCATGTAATCAAATTTAAACTTCGATTTGATGATTTCTTTATAAATTAAACTAAACTTTTTCTATTCAATTACTACGTTAATATTTTTTTCCACTACAACTTATGTAATGCATAAGTCAAATTAACATCTTTAGTTCTTGGTGTATCACATGGGACAGAGAGCATAATTAGGACTTCTGTATATCCTATTAATCCCCGTGAAATTAGAGCCCAACTGCGGATCCTAATACTTTCTGTTCTGTGACTGTTTGCTAACCGGTGAGCAAACACTATGTGCCTGCCATTGAGTTTTCTTTTCTTTTTTTTTTTTTTGGAAAATAAGAGTTTTCTTTTATTTGAACAAAGAAAACAAAGTGTAGCGAAGATCTGATGATGAGAATTATCCCTCTATTTTCTTGGCTGTTCATGGAGTAGGGTTGTTTTTCTTGTGTCTTGCTTTTGCTATGCTGTAGATTTTGCTGCTTGTGTCACGTCTAGGCCCTTTCCTTTCCTTTTGCTTTTCTTTTATTTTCTATTAATACTTCCTAACCCCTATAATTACATGCTTGCAGTGAAGGGGATCTTTCATCTAGTGCATGTAAGATTTCTGGCTCTTTGAATTACAGTGCTAAATCATTTTTGTCATGCTTCAATAATGTGAAAGTTTTCATTTCTACTTTATAGATCATGATCTTCTCGGTCAGCATGCTATATTTGCTGAACACACCGCTGTATCATCTGCTGCTCATCCATGCCCATACGTTGCCTATGTTGGAATTCACCCATCATCCTCAAATTCGAGTGGAAGTATCACTGATGGTCCTAATTTCAACAATCATTGGAATAGTCCATCTGTTCCCAGTGAGATGCCCGCTTATGCTTTCCCAGGAATGGATGTGCATTATCATAGTTGGGACCATCATTCATCTTCTTTCCCTGTGACAAGCAGTCGTGTTGGTACTGCTGATCAGTCCTTGATTCCCTCTGTAACTCAGAGAGCTGCCAGAACCAATGCTGATATCCCAAGACCAGGATCTTTTGTCCCTCCATTCCTTGTTAGTCACGGGTATGATATGTGGAATCACAGGCAATTAATTTGTTTCTTATCAAATTATTATCTAATCCTGTTTAAATGGGGTTTTTAATTGTACCTCAAAAAGGAAGGTTCCCTCTACTGCCCTTTACCTTTTTATTTTCGATTTGGGTGAGGGGTGGTGTTTGGAGGAAATATTAAAGAGGAAAAAGACTTGAAACTTTGATTCAAATTTTTCCTGTTTTGAGATCACTTGAGAGAAAGACCAAGATAGGGGAAGGAGGAAAGCTGTTTTTGTATTCATTTCAGATTTTTGATTTTGCGTTGTTTTTGCTGGCCCTTCCCCGGATCCCGCGCATAGCGGGAGCTTAGTGCACCGGGCTGCCCTGATTTTGCGTTGCTTTTGCAGTTCTGCTGCTAGAGCTGGAAGTTCAGTTGCCTCACCAATGATACCTCCTTATCCTGGAAGCGCAGCTCGGACCCGTGACCGTGTTCAGGCTCTTCAAGCATATTTTCAGCAACCAAGTAATTCACCAGCTGTACGTGCTCATGTTATGTCTGCTACGAGACGATCCAGCAGTCATAGAGGGATGGCTCAAGTAGGAGGGCCAGTTGCCTCATCATCTGATCAGGCCGGTGGCTTCTACTTCTATCCTTCAGGTTCTTCAGGAAGAAACTTTCAAGAAGCAGAAAATCCTGTATCCAACAGATATTGGGAACGGGAACACTTGCCTGCCTACCCCTTGACTCAGGTTGACAGAGATCCTATTTGGGGACCCTTTCATCACACTGGTGTTGGGTCTGATACTGGTAGCCGATCTGGCAGCTACCGCCCGAGGCATGGATCTGAGAGGATGCCGTCCCAGAATCGGTCATAAATTTCTTGTGCTGTTTTGATGAGAACTGTGATCACTGTGAAATGAACCCAATTTATGTATGTTTGAGAAAACAATCATAATGGTTGGAGTCTTGTCAATCTGGCAGGTTCAAACTGTTTTGTGGCCATGAAATGACCCCTTTTTTATGGCCATGGGTTGTGTGATGGGGCGGTGGCGTCCTCTTGTTTCTGTGCCATGGGGGTTATAAATAACATCACAATGTTAATGGCAAAAGTTCAAGCTAGTGGTTGCCTCTATTATCTGCAGTGCTTGGTTACACAAATTTCTGTCAAATTGGTAAATGGTTTGACATAATACGTGAATGATGAACCAAAATATTGTTTTGGCCGAAGGAAGCTGTTGTTCAGATTGGTTCTATGGTGGAGGACCAACTGCATGTCTGCATCCTTATTCCTTGCCCCATGGGTGACAATGAATAAGTGTTGACGATACTAGACTTTTTAATCATTTTAAAGTGGAGATAATGGTTATTTGGTATACTTTGAATAAGATAATGCTTATTATCGCAACTCCTTACCGGAGGAGCCAAACATAAAAAAAGATAATGTTCAATTATAATAACTACTTTTGGTACATAAGAGTGTAGACCTCAAAATGTTCTATTTACCGAATAGTATTTGATAATTTCCCCAAATTTTCCTGTACTTATTAGCCATCATCTCCCTATTTCCGAAAGTAACTTTCTCACATTAATTATTTAGCATTTTTTTATATAACTAAAACTTTTTAGAGAAGAAATTGACATGATCAACCGAAAAAAAAAGAATCTTAGTGAAGGGTATTGATCCACAAGAAGTCTAGTGATCAATGAACTCGTACATTTAAAGATTTGAAAGCACCGTATTAGCAAGTCTACCAAATGTTTAAGGAGTATATAAATAAGAAGGGTAGTTGCCCACATAAACTAGCATAATTTGAAAAAATGATTGTGATCTATTGTTATTTGAGAAACTGGAAATTGAGAATATGATCAAAGCATTTTTTAAATTTTAAAACATAAGTTAGAAGGATGAGAAGTGTTAGGGTATATACTATTAACCATGCATTTAGACATAGTATATTCTAATAATTGTTATGGTTAAAAATCTAAGTGGGAGATTGTGGGAATATATACTATTAACCATGGATTTTAGTTTGGATATAGTATTTATTATGGAACAATTGCTTATTCAATTTTAATAAAGTTTTAAATAAATCATATATTTGTTTGTGTCCTTTACTTATATAGTAAATGATTTAGTGTATAGAGTTTAGCTTATACACGGAAGATTAAATCATCGGTTCTTGTGAGTATAAAAATCATGTTCACAATCTAATGATGGAATTGGACAAACCATCAAGAATGATTGTAGCACAAGATTAAATATAATTTATCTTGATTATGGGAATGGTTTAATTCCAACTTCTTGTGCTAGTACATTTTGTATGTATTGAACGGACCAAGTAGAGATAAGTATTTTATACTAACTTAACAAAATAAATTCTCTAGCCATTAAATGTACTTATACTCTTAATCTTGATATAATTATTATTAGATGTGTATATTATTATTGTTTTGATTTATTAAAAGGCGAGATCCTTTCGTGGGTCAATATACTTGGTAAATTGGACAATAATGATATACATTGGCAAAGTAATAGTTAGTTGGTGGAATCCATGTCTCGGTCTAGAGATTGTTGATACACCTTTATGAAAGCTTATAAGTTTTCATGTGTAAACCATGTAGGTAGATTTTGTATCCGTCACATGAAATAAGTTAAGCGAAAGTCTAAAGGAAATAATCAATGAAATAAATTGTCAGTAATTTAATTTATTTGATTAGTATCTGAATCTTAACATGAGGAGTTAAATAATATTTAATGGAAGAATTTTAAAATTGAACTGAGAGAGTGCAGTTACGAATTTTTAGTGGAATAATTCATAATTTATTATGGTAGTATTAATTCGGATATTTTGAATTAAGTCCATAATAGGAAGCCTCGTTAATTAAATACTGCAGTTCCTGCTGTGCCCGAATAATTAGGAATTAAATAAAATTCTATTTCTTGGTGGAAAAGGAAGACCTAACAGGTTTAGAAAATGTTTTAAACCCTAGAACTTGTGACTATATAAAGGGGTCTTATTCCATAAGGAGGTTATGGTTTTTACTACATGGTTTTCCTAGGAGAAATTCGCCCACACGAGTTTCGCTAATTTCAGTTATTATTTGGGTCACACAGCAGAAGACTGTGGAACTGGAGGATGATCTCGTGGACGATGTTTGCTCTCACTCGAAGGCTCTTTTCTCGATCGCGGTCACACTTCAAGAGATAAATATCGATTTTATGTTAGATTAAAATCTGTAATTATGTGTTGTCTATATTACATGCAAGTGATCTTGGCTATTTGGCTGTTTCCCATTAATTGGTATCAGAGCGTACTTGCATCTAAATAGATAACCTGAAATATGTTTGTGTATATGTGCAATTATATGCAATAACATGTGTAGTCGCTGAAAACCATCGATTGCAGCGGAAGGTCAGATAGTTCCGATCTAATGGATTATGCCATATTCTTGATATTTAATTAAGAAAAGGATTGAGGAATTGCTTGTTGGGTTTGATATGGCGGCGACAACAAACATTATAGATGGTGTTGACCTTTTGCTTGTAATTTGATTTGTTGATTGGCATTGTATACGGTCAAAATCGGTTTTGACTTTCATGTATTTAGTCGATATTGGAACATGATGGACTGAGGGTCGTCATCATAATATCGAGATGAGATCTGAAGCCAGGTTATCGAGCTCAAGATTCAGGGACCGATCAATACTGAGCTCGAGCCAATATTGAGCTCGAGTCAATATCGAGCTCGAGATCCAGAGATCGACCAAAACCAAAACCGGCCAAGATCGAGCTAAGATACAAAGAGCCGTTATAACCGTACCAAAGGAGAGAATCTCGACGGAAATTAAGAAAAAATTAATTAACTAATCTATCATGGGATCCCCACTATGTATTTTTTATTATATCCAAAGTAGGATTCCTCCACTATATGAAAGGTGGCTATCATTTCTGTAAGGGACATTCAACATTCAAGATTCAGACATTAATACACTCTCACATTTCAAAGATTATTACACTGATATATAGTAGAGATTATCCCTTTTGAGTTTTGGACATTGATTCATCTTGCTCGTTTATAAATTATTCTCTACATAATTTGGTTTGTATTTCATTCCTTTTTTTACAGTCAATATTCGATATATTTCTACTTATTTTTTCGATTTATACCATGTTATATCACGTATCCTTAGAACTACGTATAAAATCAACTCTATCCGTTTTTCGGGTAAACAGTTTGGCGCCCACCGTGGGACTAAGGATAATAGTGGTTATTTGGTACGAATCTCCGCAAAACACACTATTTTACACTTGCTCTTGGAAGTGTCTTTGATTTCAGGTTAAAAGCAATGAACTCTCAATCAATGGCCCTACCTATTGACAACGAAGCTGGCCTTCAAGATGAGAACAACAACCTGACGACCGGGGATGAAAGGCCACTCGTCGATCCCGTTGGAGCTCGGGTCATATATCCAATTGACGATAATTCGCATGTGGCCATCGAGGCGAACCAGCGTTCTGACCCCGAAAACAACATTCATGGTGGAACTTGATCGGCAGTTCGAAATACCCAAAATGTTGGAGAAGACGGGATCAACCTGCGTATGATTTTCGAAATGTTGCAAGCTCAGCAGGTAGCGATAGATTAGTTGCAGAGCCAAATCCAGGCACCGAGCACGGCCGAGCCCAGTCCACCCCGAGAAGTCACCCACAAAATAGGGCCAGCTGTAGTAAGACCAAATGGACAAGAATCGGGGACTAATCCCGAAATTATTAAGGTGTTGGAGGAACTGACAAAATGAATTGAGTCAGGAGAAAAGAGGATTGAAGCAAACGACAAGAAAGTAGAAACTTATAACTCCAGGGTTGATCAGATCCCGGGGCACCACCGATATTGAAGGGTTTGGATTCAAAGAATTTGTACAAAAGCCTTTCCCCCCGAACGCGGCTCCTAAACCGATCCCAAAGAAGTTTTTTATGCCCGAAATTCCTAAATATAATGGAACGACGGACCCCAACAAATATGTCATCTCTTACACATGTGCCATTAAAGGGAACGATCTAGAAAATGACGAGATCGAATCCGTACTACTGAAGAAGTTCGGGGAAACCCTGTCAAAGGGGGCAATGATATGGTATCATAATTTACCGTCTAACTCTATCGATTCTTTTGCTATGCTTTCAGATTCTTTCGTAAAAGCACATACCAGAGCCATAAAGGTCCAGACCAGGAAGTAAGACCTTTTCAAGGTAAGGCAAAAGGACAACAAGATGCTAAGAGAGTTCGTATCTCGTTTCCAAATGGAACAAATGGATCTACCACCAGTCACTGACGATTGAACTGTACAAGCTTTCACTCAAGGACTGAAAGAACGAAGCTCGATGGATTCACGACAGTTGAAGCAGAATTTGGCCGAGTACCCGGCTATTACCTGGGCCGATGTGCACAATCGATATCAATCGAAGATCAGAGTTGAAGACGACCAGTTGGGTTCTGGGTCCACTATTAAAAGGGACGTCGACCGAGAACTAAGGTCGAATAGGGACCGATATCGGCCGTATAAAGAAGATCGTAGGGGTAGCGAACCTACATGCAACTCCATACGAGGCGAAAGGAGAATTGATCGAGGCCAAGGGTCTCAGGGGCTGATGAACAAGAATGGGTTCTACGGGCATATCAGACCTAAGGAAGCACCACCGTTATCAGAATATAACTTCAACATCGATGCATCCGCCATCGTGTCGGCTATCGGACGCATCAAAGATACTAAGTGGCCTCAACCTTTGCAGTCCGATCCAGCCCATAGGAATCCCAATCAAATATGCAAATATCATGGCACCCATGGCCAAAGAACCAAAGACTGCAGGCAATTGAGAGAGGAGGTAGCCCGTTTATTCAATGAAGGGCACCTTCGAGAATTTTTAAGTGACCGGGCCAAAAATCATTTCAAAAACAGAGATTTCAATAGACAAAACGAATAAGAAGAGCCACAACACATCATCCATATGATCATCGGAGGGATCGATGTCCCCCAGAGGCCGGTGCTTAAACGCACTAAGATGTCTATTGTAAGTGAGAAGCGATCTCGGACTCAAGATTACACACCTAAAGTAACCATGTCCTCTAGTGACGA